AGGAGGCTCTTTCAACCAGCCAGGGAGGAACCCCAGATGTAGTGAATCATTTGACACAGCAGGTAAGGTCCTTTGGGGACTAATAGTCTGTTGGATGCCAAATTCTTGGTTTTTTTCTCGGGGGAGGTAGACACACACACACACACACACACACACACACACAGAGTCACCATGAGTTATATAGCAGTCAAATGGAAGGTAGACATATGACATATTTCAGACTAAACCAGTGTTCCCTAGTGATTGCTGGACTTCATCCCCCTTCTGCCTTTAGAAACATGGCCTTCCAGAAGGCCTAAGGATGGATTCCAGAGAATGCTGGAGTTTTGAAAGTCTGTTAAGACCGTGGCTCTTGAGGTACTGCCCATGACCAAATGTTCAGGAATGTGTCTAGCCTGCATGGATGACTGATTCCCAGAGGGAACTCTAGGGTGGATGCAGGGCTGTCCAAGGACTTATGGGAGCATTATTCCTGGCTCGCGGTGGGTACAGCCTCTGAAGAAGGCACCTTGTGGGAGCTCCATCTTTAGTAAGTAACATTTTGCTTCATGAACCTCGAAACAGCAGCTGGCACCGAGGTTAATCTGTTCTTGGTGACCTGTTTAATGGCTTTTCTCCTTCCTCTTTCTCATCTTATTCAAAGCAATTATTGGATGGCGACTTATGTGAAGATTGTCTCTGTGGCAAGAATAAGGCTCACAGGAACTCGACAGACTCGCTGGCGGTGGGACTGCGGGTTATATTTTGGTTCTTCCCCATTTCTCTTTATTTCTGACACACGCTTACTTTTGCAGTGGTGAAAGATGCTTTGGTCCTTTTCAAGTTTGTGTGGGGTATTTTGTTTTGTTTCGTTTCGTTTTGTGGTGTGTGTGTATGCCACCAAAAAACTAGAAACTATGGTTTTCTGGTTTCATGTCAAAAATACAAAATGAGCCTCAGAAAGAATTTAGAAAAACTAAGGTGTAGTTGCTACAAAGGTTTTGGATTCTTCCCTTCCCTTCCCTCCCCCCCTCCCCGCCATGTTCCTTAAACGATTCAAAAGTTCAACTTTCTCTCAATTCTGCGGCCCTCTATTCTCCACCCCCACCTTCTGCCCCCAACACCTGCTAGCTGGGTCACCCTCTTGAACCATATTCTTCACTTCAGCTGCCCTCAGTAGATTAACTTTCTAAACTGGGAAAGCAATACTCCACCCCGCTAAGCAGAGGCAGTTTCGCTAAGACAGATGGAAACAGAAATGGACCACATTCACTTGGTGATTTGCATAGGGCCAGACACTGCAAGCTGGAGCCTCAGAACTCAACCAATACCTTCTTAGAACTCCTGAAAAGCCATCCTCCTCTTGTGCTCAGGTCTCATTTGGTGACCTTTCATCCCTTAAGGACTACAGCTAATTGATGGGGGAGGGGCGTTGACGTACACCCGAGAGTCATGCTGCCTTGGGTCAAATCTTCATGCTGCCTCTTCGGCTCTGGAGACTTAAATAAATCACTTCATTAAACCTCTGTGCCCTCAACTACAAAGTAGTGACATCGTGAACTGGATGGAATTTGTGCCCGTGGTACCCATGGAGAGTGTACCATGCACCCGAGCTATTGTCAACATTGGTAACTCTGCCATGCCTTCCTTGGGACTCTCAGTACTCATAGAAGTTTCTCAAACCTAATTTCTGTTTCAATTGAAAAAAAAAAATAATCTGTGGGTGTTTTTAGTCCCAATACTCAGGAGTTTGAGTCATGAGGATGACTTGAGCCCAGGAGTTCAAGGCTAGCCTAGGCAGTAAGACCCCAGATAAGAAACAAAGCATTCATTTTATTTTGGGATGATTAGAAAAATTTTGTCTGGATTTCATCCAAGGTGTCACAGACATGAGGGAAAAGAATTCTGCATTGATTGCTAAGCTATTCTTGAATGGTTGCTCAGACCAGTGTTCTGTGCATACAATAAGAAAGAGGAGAAGAAGGAGAAAAGAGAATTGAAGGATGGGACAATGCAAACAAAAGATCGTACTGCAGAAGGTCAGATGGCAGAGCCATCCATGAGGAAGAGCCCCTGAAGGAGGTCAGAGTTCAGTCACCTTAAATGACGTCATGGACAAAGCTGGAGAGAAAGCTATGCTTGGTTATTTAAGATTCATAATTGTCCAGGCAGTGGTGGCGCACACCTTTAATCCCAGCACTTGGGAGGCAGAGACAGGCAGATCTCTGAGTTCGAGGCCAGCCTGGTCTACAGAGTGAGTTCCAGGACAGCCAGGGCTACACAGAGAAACCCTGTCTCGAAAAAACAAACAAACAAAAAAAAAAAGAGAGTGAGAGAGAGATTCATAATTGTACATCTAGAAGATGGTTCTCAACTAGAGACTTTGTTCCCAGGGAACATGTTACAACATGTAAGATCTTTATCACGCTTGGAGATGGAGAAAGGAGCTTCTGGTGTCACTAGGCAGAGAATCAATGTCTTACCTGCACAGGACAGCCCCCTACAACAGTCCCAAATGCCACTGGGATGGGAAGTCCCGGAATGGTGACTGTCCGCTGAAGGGCTTTTCAGTGTTTTTAGATACTTTTGTCCCTTATAATAAGCAGTGTTCTCAGACACAATTCACCATGGCATCTCCTCTTCCTGCCATCACCTTCAGGGCTCCTACTCAGTTGCCTGATGTCCTCGGGTCTTTTAAAGGGGAAAGGAAGCAAAACAAAGGACAGCAGCAGCTAGATAAGCTGGTGGCTGTGTAACCTCACAATAAAATCCCAGGCCCAGAAGCCTCCTCACTAATGCCTCTTTAGATAAATCAACACTTTCCACTCAAACAGGCAGCCATCCAGGAAGATTCAATGAAAAGAGCTTCAGCAGCGCCCCCCAAATACACACACACACACACACACACACACACAGCAACACTTAAACAACAACAAAAAGTTTATCAAGATTTTAGTCAGAAACGGTTTTCTTACTTCTTAGGGAATGCATCTCAGCAATCCAACAACAGAGGAACGTGACTGCTGCCTGTTGACCCTGCCAACTCCACACTACAACGCTGGGGTAAACTCATAAATTTGTTTAGAAGAATGTTTGCCTCCCTTTACTTTATGACTCTCATGGATGTCTTTTTCTAAGAGGAGGAGCCTAGCTTCCAAGAATCTGAGTTCAAGCAAGGGAGACTGCTCGGAGGAACTGAATCTTCCATGTAAGTGTATAGCCCCGGACTCGGGCCCCTTGAGGACATAAAGCATATCCCTTCTTAGAAACTGCCTCTCTGCCGGGCGGTGGTGGCGCACGCCTTTAATCCCAGCACTTGGGAGGCAGAGGCAGGCGGATTTCTGAGTTCCAGGCCAGCCTGGTCTACAGAGTGAGTTCCAGGACAGTCAGGGCTACACAGAGAAACCCTGTCTCGAAAAACCAACCAACCAAACAAACAAACAAAAAAAAAAAAAACAAAAAAAAAAAAAAAAAAAGAAACTGCCTCTCTGCTCACGTCAGATAGGAGAGGAAATGGAAAGGTCTTTCTATGAAGTCAAGAGCACAGGGGCAGGGGAGGGGAGGGACAGGCAGGAGCACTAGGACGTTTCTCCAAATACCATCCCTCTCAGAACTACTTGACCTTGGTAGCTAATACAGGGCTGAGATGACTCGAGCAAGTACAAATGGCATTCCAGAAAATCAGCTACCACAAATCAGGAGTTTCAGAAAAGCGATAGCTTGGCAGCGTCTTTAAGAGCCATTGAAGATGTTAGCAAGGCTGAACGGAATGGTTTAAGAACATATGCTGGGCATGGTCATGCAGGCCTTTAATCCCTGCACTAGTGAGGCAGAGGCAAGCAGACCTTTGTGTATTTCAGGCTAGTCTGGTCCACATACTGAGTTCCAGGCCAGCTAGAGCTACATAGTTGAGAGCCTTTCTCAAGAGTTTTAGAGCCAATGAATTCAGCTGGGAAAAAGCAGTCGACACCAAGCCTGACCACTGAGTTCAATCCTGGGAACCCACATGATAGTGGAAGGGGAAGCCCACTCCCAAAAGTTATCCTCTGACCTCCCCACTGGACTGTGGCATGCACAGGCTTATGCATAGGCTCACACATGTGCATGCATGTTCACATGTGTGCACATATGTGCACAAAGAATTTTTGTAATACAAATATTTTAAAAGACCCGAGCATCTGAGAAGAGTTGGCACCAGGGTCAGATTTAATATCTCAGTGGCTCTCAAGACCCACTACTCCTTACTGAACACTTTTGGCCATTGTGCAAGGTACTATTTCTCTTTGGTTCATTTAATCCTCACAACAGCCTGTGAGACCAGTTTGCTTATCCATCCCTGAACTGTAGAGGAGGGAAGTCTATGGAGTCAGAGGTTAGGAGGAACGATATCAAAGTCTGCCTGTATACAGACCTGAATGCGTGGCAGGCAAGGTGGTTTACCAAGGCCCCCAAGACTTGTATGAAAGCACCAGGAGAGAATTTAAGAAGCCAAAACCAGTAAGGGAGGGAGTAGGGGTCAGGCAGCAGGGATCTGAGCAGTCTGAGTGCAGGACCATCCTCTGGGGTGAACGTGTGGAATGCAGCTAGCTACTTGTACAGTAATGGATCAATATGGGCATTCATGTGTTAACTGCAAATTGTGGGATCACCTCTTGGGCTCTGAGCCCTTTGTACTAAGTCAGTAGAATAATATCTGAGATTGGTGGACATAAATTTTTAGGTCAACTTTGAAATGTTCGTATTAGCCAGGCGAAGTAGGAGTACACACCTTTAATTTCTGCACTCAGAGGCTGGCAGATCTCTGAGTTCAAGGCCAGCCTGGTATATAGAGCAAATTCCAGGACAGCCACAACTACACCTGTCTCAAAAAAAAAAAAAGTTTATTTAGTTTATTTTACATAGGGAAATCCTAACTCAGAAAAAAATAAAATGTTGATATTGTGGTAGCTCACACCTGTAATCCCAGATTAAAAGCAGAAAAATCAGGAATTCAAGGTCCTCTCTAGTTACGGATAGAGTTCAAGGTTTGTATCAAAATTAGAACAAGAGGATACTTTATAAATTTGCATGTCCCCCTTGCACAGGGGCCTTGCTCATCCTCTCTGTTACTGAGGTTTTGCATATGTGCTGCTGAATCCAGCACCCCGTTACTTTATAACAAAGAGCAAACATTTTTCTCTCCCAATGCTTCTCCCATGAGACTCACCCAGACTGATCTCAAACTCCTAGAAACGAATTAAGTGATTCTCCCACCTCAGCCTCCTTAGCAGCCGGGACCCTGCTATGGCTCCCAGGTGACATAGATTTCCCCAGTGAATCCAGCTAGAGGGTAGGAATGTTGTTTCGTTTGCATTGTGTTTCTTTTTAAGATTACTTTCGGTTTATGATGAGTCATGCTGGTTTCTCACAGTCATTGGGTAGAGTTCTCTTTAAAGATGATCTTATTTTATAAGTTATGTGATGTAAAGGAAACCGGTTAAATGGGAATTGGCAAGATAAAAAAGTAAACTAAAGGGAGAAAGGGGTGTATTTCATTTTACACTTCGAGGTGATAGTCTATCACTGTGGGAATCTCAAGGCAGGGACTTCAGCTAGTCACACCACATCCACAGTCACGAATGGAGACAAATAAATGCACCCATGCTCACTTGCTTATGCTCAGCTTGATTTCTCCACTCTTGCTCAGTTAGCCTAGGGAATGGTACCACCCACAGTGGGCTTGGTGTTCCCACATCAATTAACCAAGATAATCTCCCACAGACATGCCCACAGGCCAACACAAAATGGACAATCCTCATAAGACCCCCTTCCCAGGTGATTATAGGTTCTGTTGAGTTGACAATTAAAGCTGACCATCGCACGCGTAGTTTGGAGGCTAATACATAACCTTTGTCTTCCAACCAGCCCCCTCCCTCATAGTCATGGATCTGAGATGTATGCCACTGAGTTTGTGCTGAGAACTAAGAATTCAAATTAAGCTACCATGAGCTGTTAATATCACATGTCAACCTGGCTATGCAAGAATTTTGGGAGCCATAGAAAATTAAGCCCTTGAGGAAGGAGCCTGCTAGAGGGCTGAGGAAGTTGGAATGGAGTGTGTAAATATCAAAGGGATGTGAGGAGGACCCCAAGGGCACCATGTCACTTTCCCATTTTGATCCAAATCATGCCTGCTAGGATTAACATGAACCAATCAACTGGCATTTGTTGTTAAGTTGGTTTGAAGCATACTGGGCATCAAAGGACTTTTCTAATTGCTTTGTTATGTACTCGTCACCCAGACTGACTTTTTGTTTGTTTTTGTTTATGAGACAATATTTCCCTGTGTAACAGCCTCAAATTCACAGAGATCTGCCTGCCTCTGCTTCTTAAGTGCTAGGACTAAAGGTGTGTGCTACCACACCCAACCATTTTTTTTAATGTATGTCATGTTCATTTGTAGGCAAGTTCATGTACATGCACGTGTGGAGGGCAAAGGACAGATTTAGGCGTCATCTTCAGGAAACACCATTCACTTCCTTCGAGACAAAGTCTCTCATTATCCTGAGGGTCACCAGTTAGGCTGGCCTGCTGGCCAGAAACCCCAGATATCTGCTGTCTCTAAAGCCCAACAATGGGATTAGAAGTGCAAGTCTCCATACTCATTCATTTATGTGGGTATTGGGGATCAAATTCAAGGACCTGAATTGTAAAGCAAGCTCTTTATTAACTGAGCCATCTCTTAGGTCCAGACTGGCTACTATTAACATTTTGAACCTAATTCCATGATCCTACTCTGTTTTGGGGGAAGGGTAGAACTGAGATTTTTGTTTTGTTGAGTGTACATGTGACATTAGCCTGTGTGTGTGCAGGTGTGACCATCTCTGGAACCCAGAAGTCAATGTCACCCTCTGACACTTCTACTTTGTTTTTTTAAAGACAATGTCTGTCTTAGTTAGGGTTTCTACTGCTGCTGTGACAAAATATCATGACCAAAAAGCAAGTTGAGAGGAAAGGATTTATTCAGTTTACACTTCCACATTGCTGCTCATCAGCAAAGCAAGTCAGTTCAGGAACTCAAGCAGACCAGGGATCTGGAGGCAGGAGCCAATACAGAGAGATGAAGGGGTGCTGCTCACTGGCTAACTCCCCTTATAGAGCCCAGACCACCCCCAGTGACATACCTCCTCCATCAAAGCCACACCTCCTAACTCTCCCAAACAGCACCACCAACTGAGAACCAAGTATTCAAATACCCAATACTGTGGGGACATTCTCATTCAAACCACCAGATGTGGGTGCAGAGGATTAAACCTAAATGTATACCGTGCACACTGGACCTTCTCCCCTTTGTAAACAGTGTTAGCAGCGTGGTCCTTCGGGGGTTATGTGCATCTAATGAACAAGATCTTGGATATTGCTTGGGTCTGTCTCACTGAACGTTATTCACATGCTGAGATCCTGACTGGAATGTGCTGTTGCAAGGTGTTGGAAGGTGATTGAGTCTTGAAAGTGGAGTTCCAGAGGTGGAAGTAATGTGTCTATGCCCCCTTATAGGACCTTTCTTCCTATCTCTCTCTATTCTCTGTACTTGAGGACACAGTATGAAAATAGTCATCAGAGAGGGACCTCACCCAGCACTGGATGTATCAGCCCCTTGATCTTAGGCTCTTAGTCTCCAGAACAGTGAGGAATATACTCAGTCTATTCTAATATACTCAGTCTATTCTAACTCAGTAGTGTTAGGACAGACCAAGCAAGCCGACAGAAGCAAACTGAAAATGTGGTGTGCACACAGAGAGACATACTGACACCACCTCTGCTGACTGCCACTCAGGGTTCTACTCCACAGCAGCTACCCCTGCTGCCACTGGCCTGTACCTCATTCCACCATCCAGAAGCCTCAGACCCTCCCCAAAGCTTGACTTCCTTGTTTCTATTATTCCTGATCTTCTTTTTTAAAGTTAGAGTAAGACTGACTGGGCCCCTCTCATAAGAACTCTTTGATGGCAAGAGAATGACTCACAATCACCTGTTACTCCAACACCAGAGAATTGGACACCCTCTTCCTGTACACACGCACACACACACACACACACACACACACACACACTTTTTATATAAGTTTTTCAAAGCATTAATCAAAGAACCTTCATGATCCTTTACAAATCCTCATACGTTGTGAGTAACAGTGATAGCAATAAGTAACATTTAGTCAGTGATCGTGTCCTCTAGTAAAGGCTCCATGGGCATTGGTCCTTTAGCCCCCACAACAGTATTGCAGGGCTATTGTTATGAGTACTATGGTGATTTGAATGAAAATGGTCCTTATAGGCTCACAGGGAGTGGCTATATCAGGAGATGTGGCCTTGTTGAAGTGAGTGTGGCCATGCTGGAGGAAATGTGTCACAGGGGTAGGGTGGGGCGGGGGTGAGCTTTGAGATTTCAGAAGCTCAAGCCAGGCCCCCAGTCTCTCTCTCTCTCTCTCTCTCTCTCTCTCTCTCTCTCTCTCTCTCTCCCCTCCCTGCTGCCTGCCAATCCAGATGTAGAACTCTCAGCTACCTCTCCGGCACCAAGTCTGCCTGCATGCTGCCAAACTACTGCCAATGACAATAATGGACTAAACCTCTGTGGTGGTTTGAATACTCTTGACCCATGGGGGGAGTGGCACTATTAGGGGATGTGACCTTGTTGGAGTAGGTGTGGCCTTGTTGGAAGAAGTGTGTCACTGTGGGGGTGGGCTTTGAGGTCCTATGCTCAATCTCTGTCCAGTGTGAAGGAGATCCCCTCATGGCTGCCTACAGAAGATAGTCCTCTCCTGGCTGCCTCCTGATCAAGATGTAGAACTCTCAGTGCCTTTTCCAGTACCCTGTCTGCCTGCAAGCTGACATGCTTCCTGCCGTGATGATAAGGGACCAAACCTCCGAAACTGTAAGCCAGCCCCAATTAAACACTCTCGTTTATGAGAGTTACCTTAATCATGTTATCTCTTCACAGCAATAAAACTCTAACAAGACAGTCATCCTAGGCTATGTAGGATGTTCAAAGTCAGCTTCTGCTACATGACTCAAAAGTAACAAACAAAAAATGCTAGACTGTTTAAGAACAGTCAGACTTTGAGGAGCTGGTGATGGGGCTCTGTGCTGGAGCTGTCACTTTGGCTTGCCTAGCATGCAGAAGGCCTTGAGTTTGGTCCCTAGGACAGGGAGGGAATTAAGGGATTGAAGGAGAGAAGGAAGAAGTAGGGAAGGGTGAAGGAAGAGAAGGAAGGAAGGAGGAAAGGAGGGAAAGAAAGGAGGGAGGGAAGGCTTAAAGGAAGGAGGGAGGAAGAAAAAGAACACCCAGGCTTTGGTAGCCTCCTGCCACTTGGGTTCTTCAGAATGAGGGCTGTCAGAAGCAAGCAGAAGCCAGGCGACTGGCAGGGAGGGAAACAGCTGCTAACAACTTCCCTTCTTTCCCTGAGGACACACAGTTCTCTCTGTGCCTATCACACTATCTCACTGACTGCTATCAAGTGAGCCCTGGCTCAGCAAGCCAATCACACAGCAGTTCTCAACTTGTGGGTCACCTAAAGACCACCTGAAGACACAGATATTTACATTACTGATTCATAACAGTAGCCAAATTACAGTTATGATGTAGCAACAAAGATAATTTTATGGTTAGGGGCCACTGCACCACGAGGAACCATATTAAAGGGTCATGATATTAGGGAGGGGGAGAACTATGGCAATAATAACTTAAAAATATTACTGAACAGACTTTACTGCTTGCCAGGAGGTGTAGGGTATAGCAGGCAGGCAAAGACGGCACAGAGGGGCAACTTGTTCATCTTGTCAGAGGAGAACTGAGGTCCACAAGTGGATGCATGCTTACATTTTGAAAAAGAAGTATCAATATCCATATTTTGACCTGTATTTAACTATAAGAAGGTTTGGGTTTAAAGAGCCCTTGAGGAGCTTAGCGTGAGTCACACAGTGTTGACTTACAAGTTCACTGCTCCTGGAATCCCTTTGATAGTTGTCTTTTGGGACTCCACTTTTCTTCTTTTGAGGAGCTAGCCCTTTTTTGCTCCAATTCTATGTAGATCTGCTAATCAGAAATTACCAGTACACACCAGAGCTGGGATTTGAACCCAAGGAACCTGACTCATTCCATAGAAAT